CGCCGCCCGGGGCGCGGGCCGACACCCCCGCCAACTGCACCTTCGCCGACCTGCAGGGCACCTGGCTCTTCCAGGTGGGCAGGGGGCGCGGCGCCGGGGGCCGGCACATCAACTGCTCCCAGCTCGGTGAGTGCCCCGGGCCCCGGCCCTCCACACCCCCCCGGCGGAGCCCGCTGATCCCGGCCCAGCCCTCCGGGCGTCCCTCACAGCCCTGGTAGAGCCCACTGCTCCCTCCGTCCCTCACAGCCCTGGTAGAGCCCACTGCTCCCTCCGTCCCTCACACCCCTGGTAGAGCCCGCTGCTCCGTGCGTCCCTCACACCCCTGGCAGAGCCCACTGCTCCCTCCAAACACCCCTGCCAGAGTCCATTGCTCGTGGCCCGGCCCTCCATCCCTCCTGTCCTCCCTCACACCCCTGGCAGAGCCCACTGCTCCCTCCAAACACCCCTGCCAGAGTCCATTGCTCGTGGCCCGGCCCTCCATCCCTCCTGTCCTCCCTCACACCCCTGGCAGAGCCCTCGGGGCAGGGTGGGGTCAGTGCTGCCTCAGCCCCTTCCTTTCCTCTTCTTTCCTCTCCTGGATCCACCTTTCCAGTGGATTCGCGGTGCCCTCTGGGCATCTGGGGACCCTGGTGGGATCGGGCTCTGTCTCTGTTTCCCTGAATGATTGTGTGTTTGTCAGCGCCTCTCAGGACAGCTGCTGAAGTGTTATGTGCTTGCCAATGTCTTCCACCCAGCTCCCTCCGGGATGGCCCGGTCGGAGTCGGTGGTGATCTCCTGGGAGGAAGGCTCTGTGAAGGAGCACTTGAGGGCAAGAGGAGGGTTTTCCACAGAGAGCTGGGTGTGAGTTGGCAGGACTTCCCCACACATTATTTTCCACCCTGTCCTATAAACAAGAGACGCCTGTCATCTCGTACCAAGAGATGCTCTCCAAAATCTGGACCCTGGTGGGATCCGGCCCTGGATCTGTTTCCCTGAATTATTACGTGTTTGCCAGTGCCCCTCAGGCCAGCTCACCTGGGCATCACCCAGCTGGAGTTAGTGCTGATCTCCTGGGACGAAGCCTCTGTGAAGGAGAAGTTTGGGGCCAGAGGAGGGCATCCTACAGGGAGCTGAGTGAGCTGGCAGGACTTCCCGGCACACTTTCTCCCCCCCCCGCCCCAACCCCCTGCTGTAAACAGAGAGTTCCTAGGAAGAGATGCTGTCCAAAATGTGGAGGCGGGTAAGGGGGGGAGTGGTGTCTGAGTGTGGAAATTCCCTCCAGTGTCCCCATGTGATGCCAACGGGTACCTCACTTCCTTATAAATGAGGCTTCTGACCTCTAAGAGTTTTGAAGGTGTCTTTAAATCCAAGAGTTATCACCTGCGTCTCTTCAGCCGGGGATATCTCTGCCCTGGCACACAAGAAAGGTAGAGCAGAGCAGGCTTCTGTGGTGAGAAAGTGGCTGCTAAGTTGCCTTTCCTTTCTCATGGGGGCAGAGCCCTCTCCTTGCAACCCAGTAACAATGGCTTGCTTGAAACCTGGCTGTGTAAAAGCAGAACTGCCTGCAGAACTCAATATTGGTAGAAGAAATACCACTAAATTAGACATGGCTGTGGCCCTAAACTGAATGAAACCACAACCATTATTTTCTGCTCAGCTGAGTGTGGGGAATGCAATAGGCTGCTTGGCAAATGTGGTGGGAAAAAAACCCAAGGATGCTTTACTTTTAAATTCAGTGTGCTCCAGCACCGAGCCCAGCACACACCCAGAAGAGGCAGCGCTTTAGCTGCACTTGGCTTTCCCAACGTCTGTATTCATCAGGTGCTTTAATGGGGCTTTTTTGCTACTTTTATCTACTAGCTGATTGAATCAACTTGAGCTAAAAGTGCCAAAAAGCCTGGCTGAAGTGCCCAATCTATACAGACACTGCAGAGCTGGGTGGAAGTAACATGGTGCTGCTTTGTTTAAAGCATGGTGGGGGTGGGGTGGGGGTAGGGGGTTGTTTTTCTTCCACGTCTGTCAGTGCCCCTAAAATTACTTGGGCTATTTTACTTAGGATTGCTCTGCCCTGAATGTGTATCTCAAACTGAGTACCATTGCCTCCGCTACTGGTTTTTTTTGTTGTTTTTTTAATCTGTGGGTGTGATAGGACAGGTTCTTTGTTTGAAGTGGTTTTATTGAGGCTAATTATTTCTTCTGAAGTTGATTAAAAACCAGACTTCCTGGGGGAGGACGTGGGACCTTCCCTTGAGAGGGCATTAGTTACAGGAAAAGGGAGGGGAAAAAACCCCAGCCACCTAAAACATTTGAAATGCCAATTTCTGCTACCAGTCTGATTGGGTAAATGGAAAAGCTGAACTCAGTGGCCCTGGGTGCGTGGTAGCGAGGTCTAGAGCAGAAATGAGGACCAGTGTAGTCCTTCAGGTTTATTATGCTTCCTGCTGCAATTTTTCTAGTGTCTGTGCTAGGCCCTGGAGCGCTAAGTGCTCAGACCTCTGACAGCAGTTGGCAACAGGTATGCTTTGCTGCAGGAAATTGATGATCCCACTGGTATAGTTATATGCTGGATTCAGGAAACTTGTGTAGCAGCTTCTGGATAAATAAACCTATTTCTGTAACAGAGATTCAGCACTCTGTTTTTCTAAACTCAAATACATTGTTACTTTGCAGTGCCTTAGCATTTCTACTCCAAAAGGCAAACTTCATCCAGCAAAATATTGATCATGCCATGTCTGGCAAACTATTTTTTCCCATGTGACAATCTCTCTCTAACTCTGCCAGTATTTTTTGTTAGTGTATGGTTAAATATGGTAGAGCAAGATTTGTAGGCAGCACAAGAAGACTTTAATTAGTCTATGTAACAACTGCCTCCTTCTGCAGGACCCGTGGAAAAGAAAGTGGTTGTGAGTCTTCAGAAGCTGGATGTGGCCCAGGATGACTTAGGCAACCCTGGCTTCTTCACGATCATTTACAATCAAGGGTTTGAAGTTGTAATTAATGACTATAAGTGGTTTGCATTTTTTAAGGTAAGTCAAATTTTTCTTTTTCAAATATTAACCTTTTTTCCAAAAGTCTGTGCATGCTCTGGCTTTTTATTCAAAGCACTGTGGCCTTCGTTCCAATTCTAATTCTGCCATTGGCCTTCTAGGTGACCATGGGCATGTTGCTTCACCTTTCAGCTGCTCTTGGTAAAATGGGGGTAATGAAGCTGACTGCCCTTATAAAAATACCAATGAAGTGCTATGCAAAAGCTAGGTATATTTTAATAAGACTTGATGCTACAACGGTGCAAGGCATGGATTGCACATCCTCATGTTCTTTCTGTGTCAGCCATGTCACAGAAGTTCCTTGTTTTGCCTATTTTTTTTTTAACAGGGGAGTTGACAGCCCTTCATATGGAAAATGCTTTTCTGATGGACTAAATCAATCTCTGTTCCAGTTGAGAAATTTGGTTCTCCCTCATTTATTTGTCAGACCCAGCATCAAAAGGTCTGATATGCATATATTTGGATGGAGTGGGGCAATGCAGACTCTGAAAAAAAGCATTAGCCAAAATAATATGTATTACATCCCTTGATTTAAATAAACCATTTACAAACAGTGAAATAATTGTAAATATTCTCTCTGATTAATAGATTAATTAAAAATATAGGTAAAGGTAGTGAAAAGGGAGTGTGTTTAAATAAATATTTATCTTTTCACACAGTCTAGGTGCTGTCCTCTCTCTTTGGTAGAGAACCTTTGTAGGAGAGCCAAGCCAGAAGGGAAACTCTTCTGCAATAAGATGAGAGGTGAAACTTCTTAAGATGCAGTTTTTCCCCCCTGTGGATGCCCTTATTCTGGCATAAGAGTACCTTTTCCACTTCATTATAATAATCTTATAAATCTTATTCCAGACTAAGGGGATCCACCATTTAGGTGCCTGCCTATTGTGGAATAACCTGCCCTCTTGATTGGCTTCCCTGTATGAACTAGTCCTATGTGTGGAGTCATAGCACATGAGGCAGTGAACTGAGCTGCAACTTCTTAGCACTCTAGGAGGGGCATGAGTTTGGGGTCAAAGTCTCTTGTTGTATTATTATGCCAGTCCAACAGTGGAGTAATTGAGTTCTCCAGCACTTCAACTTTAACACAGGACTGGGCAGTTCTTTCAAAGATGCTATAGCTCAACCAGAAGTTACAGGCCGGATGCAGGAATTCTTAGGTGAGGTTCTGTATCCTGCGTTATGCAGGTTATCAGACTAGATCAGTGTTTCTCAGCCTATGGGTAGCAACACAGAAGTGGGTGACAAGAATATATCAAAGGGTCATGAACAAACTTTAAAAATGAACTCTCCTTTAAAGGAGATGTTCACAAATGGGTCCCAGTACAAAAAAAAGTCGAGAACCACTGGACTAGATGACCCTATGTGTCCCTTCTGGTCTTATGCCTCTCCATAAACCTTGTTGAAGTAAAGGATGCTAGTGCCCTTCCTTTCATGCAGCCGGGTCTCCCAAGTTAATTTTCTCTGAACATAATAGTTACAGTTCCTTGGCAAACACACTTTGGAGGAATTAAATCAGTGCAGACTTTGGGAGCCCTCAGACTGATTTATCGGGTTAAGTATAAAGTTGCTTCAATTGCCAATAAATTGAGCAGCTGAGAAATCAAATATGAATGTGAGGGATTTTAAAATCTCAAAATATCAAGCAGCTTGCTGAAGAAAGGTAAATAACATGGAGTGCAGCAGGTCAGTTTTATGACACAAGCATTGGGGGTAGTGCTGCTTCAGTGGAACTCATGACAGGCTAAATATAGTACATCTGGCTCTTGTGAAATCAAAGTCCATTTGACGAGAACTGACAAAGCTGAGGGACTGGAAAACAGGCTTGGCAAAAGCTCTAAATGCAATTGTGAAAGCTGACCAGTGCCTTGAAAATGAGGATGAGGCCATTTGAGCTCCCAATCAAATTTTGATGTGTATAAACCAGGGGTG